TAATATGCAAATATGCAAATAAAATGTTAACTGTCTGCCTAGCCCCAACCCAGCCCCTTGCTCCCAGTGCTAAATCCCTTTGCCCCTGCCCCTTTTCCCCGTGCCCTTTGACCTTTTAACCTCTGACCCCTACAGCCCGTGCCAACACTTTTCCCTCTCACCGAAAAACACCTCTGTGCCCCCACCCAACCCACACACTCCCCAGAGTGATGCTGCCCCTTCTAGGGAGCATAGCCATTACTACTGTGCGGGCAGAAGGAGCGGCCATTGGCAGCATGCCCCTGCAGTCCTGCTACCGCTGGAAAAATTGGCCACGGAGGCAGGGGGAGCGGCCGTTGGAGACACGCATGCTCACTCCTCCTTCCCATCACCCGGCTTCTCTGGCATCCAGGGCTGCCACAGCTCCTCCAGCCACCAGAGCCACTGCTGCTCCTCTGGCAGCCAGTGGTCTGTGGCCCGACAGTTGAGAACCGCTGGTCTAGAAGCAGAGTTGTTGCATAACCTTTTCACTCCCATTGTGGGCTTTATACAGCCCATCACAGAATGTTTGTACTTCTTCCACCAAATGTTGAGATTGAAGAGGGGCCAGGATTATATCATTTACATGAAACAATGAAGTCTAGTTCAAAACTTTGTATTATCTACTTTGGGGATTCTGAATAAATTAACAGGGAATACTACACTAGGCAGAAATAAAATCATGCTACTGTACAACCATTCACTAGATCTAGATTGAGTTCAGATTTTACTATGACCGTTATGTCAGGATACTGTGGCAGTTTTTATATATCAAGGAATGGGCAAATTATTTCCATTAATACTGAAGTATCTAATAAATAACATTAAAGAAAATAGATTGAGACTATGTGAATGTTAATGTTTCCAGCAATAGCACAAGTAGGGTTCCCAGATGGTTGAAACAAAAATACCAAACAGCCCTCTCCCCCCCGCCCACAAAAAATATCAGGAAAAAATTCTGTTGGGGGGGCTATTGGGGGGGAAAGCCAAAGTTGTTGAGAAAAAAAAAAAAGAGAGAGAGACTGCAAGGACTAATTCAAAAAAAATTAAAATAAAACAGCATTAAAAATAGCATGTCGCCTTTAAGTGCAGGGATGGGAGAGGTTGAGCACTAAGACCCAGGGGAAGCACTACTTCCCCTAGGTCTTTTGGCCGGCAGCCATTTTGAGCCGGCAGGAGAGGTTGAGTACTAAGACCCAGGGGAAGCATGGGGGGGCAGCCATTTTGTGCTGGCAGCCTTGGGAAACCAGGTAAGCAGGGGGGCTGGGGGTGTTGGGGGCCAGAGGAGGAGGAGGAGGAGGCCAGGTGCTGAATGTTTGTAGGGTTGCCAAGTGCCCAGCATTTTCGCCTCCTGGCCAGGGAAAAATTCAGAAAATACCGGACATCTCAGGCGTCTGGTATTCTCTGAATTTTTTTACCCAGCAGGAGCCGAAAATACCAGACTGTCCGGGTGAATATGAGACACCTGGCAACCCTAAGCACAAGCCTCATGAATAAATTAGAACAGACCCAAGTGAGGAAAGGGAAGGAAGTGGAAAGCCATGTAGTAATGATGTAGCTTGGGACTAATAACCCTTTTATGCCCATTTAGGGATGCTTTACTCAAAGTAACAAGAGATAATTCTATACTCTACAGGAACTGCACAAAACTGGGAAGCCTGCCACATTTTATTTCCTTCCATTTTACTGATGTATTACTAGACTGTAAAAACAATATACAAATAAATAGTTCTACTTTAGAGATGAGGACTTGAGAAATCAAAGAGTCAAGTGCTTAATCAAGAAACTCTTTGAGGAAAGTCTGATAGCCAATAGAAAGACAATGGAAAAGGATATGAACTATGGAGAAACTATATATAACAGCTGAGCATAAAGAAGTATATGAAGGAACTACGAAGAGTGACATACCACAACTGACTGTTGAAGACTCTTCATGTTTACGCATCTAAAATTATTCTGGTCACTTTTCTTGATACAGTACTAGCGTCTTTGGATAACTATCAGTCAGGATCTCAACTACTAAATATTACTGGGGATGTTAAATTTCGATTAATCAGACAATTGAGTAGTTGATGGAATTGCCATCTGTTATTTGAGTAGTCAAGAGGGGGATGTGGGACACTCACTATCCCAGCTGCGCCTCTGCCTTTTAAATGTACTAAGAGCAGCCCATGGCTGAACAACAGGGAACATGGGGTGAGCAGGGACTGCTTGCTACATTTCAAAGGCAGAGGGGAAGCTATCAGACTGCTTCAGTCCCTGCTCGCACCCTTTCCCTGCTGTGCTTCTGCCTCCCTTGCCCTCTGCCCTCCCGGAGAGACAGTGCTGGGGGGAACCTGCTTTATGCCGGTTCCCCCCCAGCACCAGCTCCTGCTTCCCCCCCATTGCTGCCCCCCTCTGATAAAGGCAGCAGGGGGGAAGGGGCGGAGCCGGAAGCGACTAGTCGAGTCACTACTGACTACCCGATAAGCCTATGTTTATTGGGTAGGCAACTAGTCACTTACATCCCTAAATATTACCCAGCTCTAATTAGTTTCACAGAGATGATACATGGTGATATGTTTTAAATGCTGATATACAAAAAACAGCTATAAAGGAATATCTCAATATAGCCTCATTAAAGTAGGTAGGGCTTTAAAAATTCACTCCTGATGAGTGGGAAAGCTTGCCCTGGCAAGAGAGACTTTCTAACATTCTCCAGAATTTAAGCTTCCATTTAAAAATAAAGTTTTCAGATTTTATGGCTGCAAGAATAATCTCCCAAAACTGAACCAAAGAAAACCAACACAGTATAGTCTTTCTAAGTCTGCAGACACCAAGCTCCTACATATCTGCTACTGTTCCTACTTTCCTAAGTAGACGTTCTATGAAATTAACGAGACTGATCAGCTTCACTACTGCTGTATGCAGAACCCCATTGCCAGCAGGGAAAATGACAAGAATCACATCAATTTCAGACAGCTAATTAGGAAATAAATCATCAGGTGATGAAATTACTGAGTGAAGAGAATCCAAAAACCAGAAACAGGAAGAAATACAGCGTAACAGGGATCTTCAACCCTCACTATAGCCAGGAGTCACAAGGAACAGAGAGAAGGGAAAGTTCTTTTTCTCTTTCAACAACTTGAATAGAGCTTCAAATATATAATACCTACTAGGGATGGAAGACAGTGTGTAACTGAATAGTTGTGTAACCACACGAAATCTTGATAGTCCTATGAAGGAGTGAGCGGCAGTCAGTGTGCTCCCAGCCTCACTCACGGGGAAGCCCCTTACCACTCTTTGCTGGCGCCTCTATCAGGGGCAGCAGCGCGGAGTGGCAGGCAGGAGCTGGTCTGCGAGAGGAGCCAGTTAAAAAACCCACACAGACTGGCTCCCTCCTGCTACCCCTGTCTGTAAAGGGGTCCAAGCTCCCCATGGAGAGAGGCTTCCTCTCTTGAAAGCTGGCTCCCTGTGCATATCGGCTCCTGCCTGCCCCCTTTGCCCTCAGCACTGCTGCCTATCAGAGGCAACAGTATGAGAGGGGGGAGCAGCACCGTGAAGCTGGTGCTGGGGGGGAAATCGCTACAGGAGGCAGCAAAGGGGGGCAGGCAGGTCTGAAGAGCCAGTATGAACAGGGAGCCTGCTTGAAAGCCAGCTCCTCACGTATATTGCCTCCAGCTTGCCCACCTCAGCCTCCGCACTGCTGCCGCTGACAGAGGCAGAGGCAGCAGCGCAGGGACAGGGGCAAGGCAGATCTGGTGCTCATGGGGAGCCAGCTCCTCACAAGCATAAGCTCCTGCACCTCCCCCATCCTTGCTGTCTTTGATACAGAGGCAGCAAGGGAGAGGGAGTGCATGTAGTCAACAGGCTTATTGGTTAATCATTTAGTCATCTACATGTTGACATCCCTGATGTCCAGTAGTTTTAAAGTCTTCTGTCTTGCAAATCGAGAATCATTTGACTAGACTGGTTATTCACTAGACTAGAGACATTACTATTGCTACTTATTACATATAAGATGCTCAGATACTATGGTGAGAGATGACAGTATAGCTATATGACAAAATGTGAATCTGTATTCACATCCTACACAATGTCATAATCTTTTTACAAAGTATGCCTCGCAAGGGATCATCTGAACACTCTATTTTCTGGTCAATAAAATCTGTGTCAACACTGAATGCGAAATTATAAAATTTCACTGTATCTTAACACACCTTCTAAACTGAGGTTGGCAAACAGGTCTGCCTCACAACAAAGGAATGTGTGCTCTACTTAATGACTGTTTACTGCTTAAATGCAAATTAAAACAGAAAGGAAACTAAATACATTCCAACAGGTGAGGAAAAGCAGCAGGAAACATCCTTTCTATAAACTCTCTGTCTCCAGAATCTCAGCTATAAATATTTTCCGAGGGAGCCCTGACACTATAAAAAGGGGAATACACACCAAATGGACTCCTCCCCTCTCTGTCCATCAATTCACTGCATTGCAAGGGACAAACCAAGCAACTTGTGAATTGGAGAGAAGGAATTCTGATCTAAAAGTCTGGTCAGTAATATTGCTCAGAGCATGTGGTGAAAAAAATCTTGCCTTTGTTAAGTTACATGCCAATTGTGTTTAATCTTTGTGTTTCTTGTGACCATTTTTTACTTTTATGCCTCATTACTTCTACTAATTTAAAACCTTTTTGTATCTAATGAACTTGTTTTATGTATTTGTTTGTTTGTTGTTTTAGCTAATCCAGTGTGTATTTGAATCAAAGTGCATGGAAAACAAGATGTTTGAATGGCTTTTCTGTTAATAAAACTGCAGACTTTATATAAGCTTATAGTGTCCAGCAGAGGGCTGCATAGAGCAGGACATACATTTTGGGGGAAAAAATCTAGGAGTCAGAGTGTATTGTTGGGGTTATCTTGCAATATAACCAAGGCTGGTGAGAGCCAAGGTGTGGCTGACAGGCTGCAGTACACCCTGGGACATAGTTGGGAGTGACTTACTTGCTGAAAGCTGTTTGTGAGAAGTCCAGTCTAGAGGTTACAGCAGCAAAGCATTGTAAAGAGCACCCAAGATTAGAGGACAGGGGTGATACAGCTACTCATCAGTTGAAATGTACCCTGCAAATGTCAAAATCTAGATAAGATAGACATCACTAAAATATCCTTTTCTGCATCTCTCATGTGGACAAGATAGTGCCTCATTCCTGAAAAGTGAGGCAAAGCAGAGTTCCAAAAGTGCAAGGATCCTGACTTCTACCCTAGGTGTCCCTATTAACTCTCAGCAATATATTTCACAGTTCAGATAAATCAGTGTGGTAGCATCCCCTGAGGTGAAACTAAGACTGTGGGACTGCTGAGCTCCCTGTCCCACCAATGTTGGGTACCATTCTCACACTGCGATGCTGTGACAAGCTACAAACCTCTGGGAGGTACTGTACTTACTAGTTTCTGAGGGGCAGCTGTGTTAGACTGTAACTGGAAACATTTAAAAAATAACTAATATTCTTGCAGCACCTTTGAGACTAACAAAAATGTAGATGGTATTATGAGCTTGTGTGGGCATAGCCCACTTCTTCAGATGACCGGAGTTAAGGGGTCCAGGTAACTATTTGTTATTTTTTAAATGTTTTCAGTACTTACTAGGGATGTTAACAGGTACCCAGTTAAACAGTTACCCAATCAGCATGACCTTTAATGGGTGATGCTTACTGGGTAATAGTTACCTGGTACCCGGGAGCAGTCCCCTGCTCACAGCTCAGCTGCGAGCGAAGGGCTGTTCCAGCCCCATCCCCACCACTGATGGAGCTACCTGTGGGGGAAATCAGCTACCTGCGGCTGCTCTATCCCAACCCCAGCGCAGCCCAACTCCACCAGAGTAGCCACCCCTACCTACCACCTTTAATTGGCTAAATGAGATTTTACATCCCTAGTACCTACTCGTACAGGGACACACTCAGCTTGGTTCCACGAATGTTTCTCCCAACCACGCATTAACCAATAACACAGTGGCTCCAACAAATTTCCCCCACCTTCCCAGCTTTTCACACCAGAACTGTACCATCTTCCCTGGTCAGAAGCCTGGCCAGGGCACATACTTTACCCAGTCCATCCCTCAGTTAATGTGTAGAGGACAAATGTAAGCCTCTGAAAACTAACCTGAATTTTCCAAGCACTCTGTTTTAGGCACAATATAAAACAGGTTTATTAAGTACAAAATGATAGATTTTTAAGTGATTGTAAGTAGCAAGCACAGAGATCAAAGTTGATTACCTAAAGAAATAAACAAATCTGCAGTCTAAGTTCTACAAACTAAACAGGATTTGAATCAAGCAGTGTCACACACGGACAGATGGCATAGTTCCTCAGTATACAGGCTGGAACTCTTTTCCAGCCTGGGACTACACTTCCCAATTCAAAGTCTTTGTGCTCCAGATGTGTTTCCCCAGGTGTTGTGTTGTGTGGGTAGTGAGGCCAAATCAATGTCACTTGTTTAAAGTTTCTTTCCGTTTGCTGGAAAGTTTTTTTTGATGGGAGGATTAGGCAGTCCCCATTGATCAAATAGTCTGTATTGTCTTTGTGTTCTCTCTGACAAGTCTTCTGGGATAGCATAAGGGAGTGGATTCTCTTTAATGGGCCTTAAATCAGTGCATCTCCACTGTTGTATCTGAAAGGCTGGTTGTGGGTGGTTCCCAACCTCACAACATATTTCAGTAACACACACATAGCAAAACTTCATATCTTCACATATAATGATAGCACATACAATCCAACAGGAAGCTAATGTTCAACAGCTCAAGATATCTCACAAGGCATTCTTGGTAAGAAATATAATGATATGAGACTGGTGAATATGGAGGTTCCAGCATGCTGCTTTGAAGTAAAGAGTTCCATAATGAGCCACACTTGTGCATACAGTGAATAATTCCTCACTATACATATTACTACATTTTTCAAAGATTCAAACTCACTCAAATCAAACCAGTTTTCTTCGGAACCACCAAAGGAACTTCTCCTTTATGATTATTACATCCATTCTAAATTCCAACTTTTAACCCACAGCTTTTTTTAAGATGTAAAGTTGTTCAACGAAAAGCCAAACATTTTTTTAATGGGTGCAGTGGGCTTCTGGAAACAGGAGATTGGCACGGGGGGGGGGGGGGGCG